GGCAGCTGTGGGCTCGGAGGCAGCCAATATTGTCAGCTGCCAAGTAGAGCAATGTGGTTGTCTTGTGTTCAGACCCTTTCCACGTGCAGTTTTTAATCCCCCTCTGTACTTCCATAGGGAATCTTGTCTGATGATCACGTTCTGGCAGCAGCTCTTTGGAGAAACCTTTTTAACAGGAACTGTGAGGACCCTCGGCACCTGGAGCTACTCGTCGAATACGTGCGCAAGCAGGTACCCTGCAGCTCGTGGTGTGGCTGCCCTTCATTCCCTTCTCTGGAGTAGTGCATTTTGATTTTTATTGCTTGCAGACTATGTAGCTCAGTTCTCATAACTGAGGTTTATATCCAGTAGTTAGGAGAAGGTAAAAATACAAAAGCTGGCAGATGCTGCGGTTCGATGGGACGTTCCTGCAGAGAAGCTCAGGGAGTAATTGCAGGTGATTGTGCTGATCCTTTCCTGGGCCTGTGCTCTGATGGGGCTTGACAAGATGTGTCAGGAATGGGCTGCAACTTGTAGAGTTACAGTTGATGTTGCAGAGTTGGAATCCTCTTCATACTGAAACAGCACCCAGAGCTTGAAAATCTCCTGATGGTCTCTCTGGGAAAGCAGGAAAAGGTTTTGTTTTCCAGAATTAGTTTATTGCTTCTTTCTGTTGTTACCTAACAGCTATTTTTATTCCTTTCCTGGAGGAAACAATGTAAAGTAGTGTTTGTCCTCACAAACCCTGGTTTGTGAACCAGTTTTATAGGAAATTTGGTAGGATGTAGTCCAGGTGGGTATCAAAGACAGAAAAGGCATGAAGAGGTTCTGGAAGAAGTGTAGGCTGTTGGACAGGGAACTGGAGACCAGAACCTCCACCACAGCATTCTCTGTAAGGTTCCCAGTACTACATTCAGGACCAGGCAGAGATTTGGAGAGACAGTATTTCTGTGTGTGTCTGAGAAAACGGTATGGGCCATAAAGGCTGGACTTTGTAAGGGACTGAGGATACTTCTGGAATGCTAGAGGGATTCTCAGGAGGGACAGACTTAATTTAATGTTTAAGGTTCCTGATGCTTAACATCAGTGAGGCTGTAGGAAAGTTTACAACTTGTACTTCTGTGCATTCAAAAAAAGGATGGGACAGGAGCTGTCAGCAGTTGATGAGGACAGAGTGATCACACAGATAAATGTGGCACGCTGGGGAGGAGTTGGCACAGCTTCTGCAGAGACAGGTTGTTCCTGTAGACAACTCTGAAGTGGTGCACGTGAGAAAAACAGTCCCAGCTTTACACAGGTATTGATGAGCTCTAAACTTACCACACAGGAATGAGTCCTTGAGGTTAGAATTGTATTATCAAAACGTCAGCTCAGCGCCCTGTAGTGTTTAAATAAAGTAAAACAAATGCTCAGTACTACCAAGGAAGGAATACAGAATAAAATAGCATTGCCATGCCACTTTTTAAATCCATGGCACCTTTATGATCTTGAATAATGTGTGTGCTTTGGGCTCTGGCCATCAAGAAAGACAGAAATCAAATTAAGAATGTTAAGAGATGAGCAGTAAGGATGAGATGAAACAGCTCCTTGATTAGGAATGAGTAGGATACCCTGCTTGAAAAACAACTGAGAGAGAATGTGGGGCAGCTCTGGGAAATCCTGAAGGCACGTGAGGGTGAGCAGGGAAAGGCTGGTCACTGCTGCAGGAACGTGGGGATGTAACTTTGCCACAGGTTGGTTGGGATGCTCCAGCTGCACATGGGCTCCAAGGCCACTGGCAGTGTTTATGGGACAGAAGTATGTGCAGGTTTGTTAAACCCACAACAACCACTTCAGGCGCAAAATCCCCAAACTAAGAAATTTTGAGAGGGAGGGAAAATAAACAAGGAAAGTAACATAGTATGCAAGCATTGCATTTGACTCCAGGGGAATCTGCTGGTGGTGACTGCTGGAAACAGGATATTGTGCTTCAGTGGCTCTTTGGTCTGACCTTCCATGGCCATTGGTCTGTTCTTCCCTCTGTTGAGAAACTCCTTCTCAAATTACCTTTGGTTTCCAGGATGCATTGTGTATGAGGCCTTTCCCACCACTTCTTGCTGATCCTGTCTTTAACAGTGGCTGTTAGTAGATGCCAGAGAAGAATATAGTAATAGGGCAGGCATGTCTACTATTTCTCTGGTCAACTCTCCTAGCAATCTGCTGCCTCCACAGACTTCCTGAGCCAGAGGTGGTGGGTTTGTCTTTTACTCACCCTTGTTTGCAGCATCTTGTGGCAGCAGGTTAACCCTATGTGGTCTGACAAGGGTTTTAGAATCATGGAATCACAGAACATGTGGGGTTGGAAGGGACCTCTCAAGGTCACCCAGTCCAGCCCCTGCATTGAGCAGGGACCTCTGTAACTAGATCAGGTTGCTCAGAGCCCCATCAAGCCTGACCTTGAATGTCTCATGGGATGGAACCTCCACCACCTCTGGGCAACCTGCTCCAGTGCTTCACCACCCTCATGGTAATGAAGTTCTTCCTGATACCCAGTCTGAATCCACCCTGCTCTAAGGTTAAGGCCATTGTCCCTTGTCCTGTTGCTACACACCCTCCAGCTCATGTGTTTTTATGTTATAAACCTCAGGTGTTCCCTGCTGGTCAGGCTTTTTTCTGTAGTGAGAAGCCTTGGTCTCTGTGAAACCACTTTTATGAGAACACTCCATGTAGATGATGGCACTAACGGTGTGTCATCTGAAGTAACTTCTGGGAGGAGAAATTACTCATGTTAGCTTTGTGTGGCTCTTCTTTGTCCTGTTGCCAAATGTTCAGAGGAGACATCAGCTAAGTAGTTAGCAGAAAACCTTCTGCAGTTAACTCCAGTGGATCTGCAGATCCTTATCTCCTGGTCTTTCCATGATGCTTAAGCAGTCCTAAATTATCTTTTGAGATCTAGGTCACACAAATGGCAAAGTGTGCTAAAATCTCCCTGTTTTGCTTTTTTTTTGGAAGCCACATGTTTGTGTAGCTCTTGAGGAAGCTGAGTGGCCTCCTGGGGTGCATTCAGCAGAGTGTGGCCAGCAGGTCAAAGGAGGTTCTTCCGCTCTACTCTGTCCTGGTGAGATCACATCTGGAGTGTTGTGTCCAGTTCTGGGCTCCCCAGTTCCAGAGGAACAGGGACAGACTGGAGAGAGTCTCTAGTAGTCTCAACAGAGGCTACAAGGCTGGAACTGGAACATCTGTCTGATGAGGAAAGGCTGAGAGACCTGGGGCTGCTCAGTCTGGAGAGGAGAAGACTGAGAGGGGATGTTATCAATGTTTACAAATACCTGCAGGGTGGGTGTCAAGGAGGGGCCAGTCTCTGTTCAGTGGTGCCTGTGATGGGACAAGGGGATTCAAACTGGAGCCCAGGAAGCTCCACCTCAACATGAGGAAAAACTTCTTTGCTGTGAGGGTGACAGAGCCCTGGGCCAGGCTGCCCAGAGAGGCTGGGGAGTCTCCTCTGGAGACATTCCAACCCACCTGGACACGTTCCTGTGTGACCTGCCCTGGGGGGATCCTGCTCTGGCAGGGAGTTGGACTCAAATGATCTCCAGAGGTCCCTTCCAACCATCCTGTGATGCTGTGAGTGTGCAGGGGTGGTGGGGCAGCTCTCAGTGACACCCTGTCCTTGCAGGTGCAGCACCTGGACGCGCTGAGCGGGGAGGAGCTGCTGCTGACGGGCGAGGTGACCTGGCGGCCGCTGGTGGAGCCCGGCGCCCGCAGCGCCCTCCGCCCGCCCGGCCCCGTCTACAATGACGAAGGACTCTGAGCCTGCTGGCACCTGGCTCTGCTATCAGCTCTCCAGATCAGCTGGGGAAGCACGCCTGGAACGGACCTGGGCTGAGGCCAAGGGGTCAGGGAGGAAAATCTGCTGGTGGAGAGGAAGGATTTAATTAGGTGTCCTATCGGTGGTGACTCAGGAGCAGATCGGGCGGCCACGCTCTTCTAAATAGTCACCCACAAATAAATGCTGCTTGGTTTGAGAACCTCTGTCCTTTTTCAGGCACTGAGTGGCCCTTGCTGACAAATGGAAAACCCTGCCTTCTGTCTTTAGGAAACCAGGTATTTTACCATGACTTAGAATTATCTCAAGAAGACGTTTCTGTCCTTTGCCTGGTTTGAAGAGCTGCTACGTGGAGACACTGGGGTGTCCTCTGCTCCCTCAGTGGCTGGGAATGCAAATGTGAGCTTTGCATATTAGATTTAATGTATTTTCAAAGCCTGATCTGAAAATGGAACGGTCCATTTTTGCTTTAGTGGAGTCAAGCATTGCTTTAACAGATTCTGAAGGGTTTTCTGTGAAAATCCTTCTTAGGAACTCTGCTCTGTTGCACAAGGATGGGAGGATGCAAAGAATCATGTGCAGCCCCCAGTAATCAATGCTCTGTGACTGTCGCCATCTTCATGAGAACAAAGCCCCAGACATAGCTGGGCTGTCACCAGAAGCTGCCTCCCAGTGCTCCGTGTTCCCATCTGCCTTGCTGATCCCTCTGCATTCTTTTTAGAGTGGTGGTCTAAGAATTTCTTTAGGAAAAGAAGACCCCAGTTTCTGTCCCTGGCTCTTAGGGAGACAGGACTGTGCTGCCCCCCACCCCCCAGAGCAGTGGTCCAGGGCTTTGTGACGAGCCCTGTCAACCCCAGGGGAAGCTGTGTCTGGCTGCGCAGGCAGATCACGCCAACACAGTAATTATGGGAGCAGGAGCTCTGCTGATGAGATCAGCAGGGGCTGAGGTGTGCCCTGTGGGTGGATGGTTCACCAGGCTATTTCCAGGTTGGTGACAAAAACAGTTTTCATTTCTCTCCTGTCTAAAATCCTAGTCAATAAATCAATGTCAGTCGGGGTCAGATGTGTGTGTTCTGTGCCGTGTGCGCTTTTGGTAAGATCAAGTCTTGTCATATCAGGATTTATTCCTAATAAAACCATTGCACAAAACTCAAGCTTCATGTGTGAAATTAATCCTTAATTTTTAATCCTTAATTTGTAATCCTTAATCTGGTGAAAGTCTTGACTGTGCCTGGCTGTGACTGTTCTTCCTTCTGAAGTTGCTTTCTTCATGTTGTATGTTTAGGGGAATATTTGACCTCCCTTCCCTGGGAGAAGAGCAGCAGGACACAGGCTCCCAAACACTGGCTTGCATTTTATTTTTTTTTTTTGTTAATCTTCTCTTAGGGAGCCTTCTGTGTATAAAAAGGGCATTTTGTTATTTTTTTCCAAGGCTAACTTCCTCAGTTTAACTTGTTATAAAATGAGTCATGTAAAGAAACCCTCCGTGTGTGAGGTGTATCCCTTCTCTGTGAAAACATTACAGACCAAACAACTTGCTTGCAGTTTATTTAAGATGCTTTTGTTGAAAGCTGAGCTAAGCAGAGAAACCTCTTATGTGTGAAGTATTATACAGTGTGAGTGAGATAATAACACCTTGTAATTCATTACAGCTGGGTTGTATTTACATAAAAGAAGGCTGAGCTGTGTAGGAATTTGCTGATTAATTTATTTTTAATGAGAGCGAAGTACACCAAGTACCAAAATAAACTTTGCTTTGTGTATCTTACTGCTCCTGAAATAGGTGGAAAAATTAATGGTAGATATTTTGGCTCAAAACTACATACATTAATTCATATACAAAACAGTCATTTAAGCTTTAACCCCTCTCCAGCTATGTAATTCAAACCTGGACTCACGTTATCCACACCATGGGAACAGAGGACTGGGAGGACCCCCTCATCCAACCTGGAGCTGTACACAGGTCAGAGACAGGGTAGTATCTGTGGTGCTGGTGCTGTGGAGTGGGGGGAATTCATGGGACCACTAGTCTGTAGGTGACAACACCTTTTGTTCTCTGAGTATGAGGTGGCCATGTGGTCAAAACTGAACCCTTTCCTATGTTTATGTGCAGGAGTCTCCAGAAATCTTGGTGCCAGGTTGTGGTCATTGGCATCTGCTTTTGCACATTTTATTAATATGAGAATAAAGACCTATAATCATGGCTCTCCTCTTGTTCCATGGAATGGCTTCAACCACCCTGCTGTGACAGCTGAGCCAGCAGGCAGGGTGTGTCTTGGACAGGAGTGTGTGGGGCCTGGTAAGTGAACAAGGCAGAAACTGCCCATTAATTAAAAAGGGTAATCGGTTAAGTGAGAAAAAATACTCTGGAGGCTGCATAGGACAAGAGAAGACCTTGCTTCCCAGCCATCAGTTAACTGGAGACAGGATTTGGATGGATAACATGACCCCTCTTACTTGAGGGGTGCATGCCAGGGGGCTAGAAACCTGCCATGGCCACGGGGAGTTAGGAAGAAATTCTGTGCTGTGAGGGTGGTGAGAGCCTGGCCCAGGCTGCCCAGAGAAGCTGTGGCTGCCCCATCCCTGGCAGTGTTGAAGGGCAGGTTGGATGGGGCTTGGAGCAGCCTGGGCTGGTGGGAGGTGTCCCTGCCCATGCAGGGGGTTGGGACTGGATGATCTTGAAGGTCCCTTCCAACCCAAACCATTCCTTGATTCTCTGATCTTACATAAAGACCAGCATTTTGAGTCCTTGCAAATGAGTGTGTTTCCAGTAGCAAGGTCTCCCCTTGCAGGCCCTGGGGCAGCAGTGCTGAGCAGCTGACAGGGGTTCCTCTGCCCAGCACTGAGGAGGGCAGCAGAAGGCAGAGTGTTGTAACCCAGTGCTGCAGGGCCCATCTTCTCCCCCTTCTGAGGCTTTGCAGAGGGAATGACTGAATTTGTTTTGCTTATGGTCTTTATGCTGCTGGGCTTTTTGAAAGTGGTCTCAGATCACTGACCTGGGGACACTGACTGTATTTTAAGTGACTATATCCATGTGTGTTTCTTCTGGAAGGAGCCTGCTGAGCCCTTTGTCATCCAACCTGATCTCATCTCTCATATACAGAATTTGGATATCACTTATTATTCCAAATGACTTGTTTCTTCAACTTTTCCAGGTGTCCTAAAATGAAAGAGCCTTAGGAAGCACTCACTCATTATTTCAGGTAGATCTTGGCTTTCTTGTCTCGGGGAGAAGAAAAGAAGGATCAGTATTCGATGACTTCCCTTCCTTCTCTGCTCTTCTCCACCAGTGGGAGAGCAGGTGCTTTGGGTCATGCTCGGTCTGTTGTTTCCAACTCATATTCTGAGATGTTCTGGAGTTGGAGGGGAGTTATCTGATACCCTTTGATGTCTGCTCTTTATTTTAGATGTTTAAATGTTTTTCTGTCTCAGTTTCTGTGCTCACACTGCCTTTTGGTACTAACATCTAATGGTTTTGTCCTGCCCCTTCAAACAGCTGCAGTGCTGCCAGCACAGGCATCCTTGCTGAGCTCCACATTTCCTGCTCTGTCCAGGGCCCTCAGCCCTGTTCAAGTGCAATTACCACCTCCTGGATTTCAGACTCTTGACCTCACCTTCCACAAAGAAGGTTTCAGTCATGCTTCTGCTACACCAAGCCCTGGGGTCAGAATTGCTGCTCCTGATGTAGCAGTTGGACTTGACCTGTCTCACTTCCCCTGCCCTTGGCTGGGCAGGTAAGGTAAGCAGAAACTGCAGGATGAGTAAGAGCAAATCTTCCCACCAGAGCTTTGAAGGAGGTGAGTGGAGATTAGATGAAGAGCAGCAGAGCCATGGGAGGGGAAGCATGGGCTGGGAGGGGATGGTGACTGGTTCTGCAAGCAGGGTCCCTGTGATGGATGCCAGTGTGTGGCACCACTCAGGAGCAGTGAGAGCCATGCCATACCTTCTGACCCACTCTCTCCTTTCTCTGTACTCCAAAACCCTGCAGAGGAGCTCTGCCTTCAGAAATCCAGATCAGCTCTATGACTGCAACTCTGGTGCAGTGTATGTGCAGCATTTCTGTGGGACCCCTTTCATCCTGAGCATGTGCTGGGGGTCACAGACACCTAGAAATTCCTTGGTGTCTTCTAACCCCTCTGTTAGCAGAGTTGTGCCATGAACACAGCAGTCTCTTGTTGTGACATTCTCCAGCTTCTCAGGCCCCAGTGCAGACATTTGGTTGTGGTCTTAGCCTAGTTCATGGGTTTGTTGGGGTTTTTTTGGGTGATGCTGGTGGCAGCTGATTCCTTAATAGACACCCCCTGCATACAGGCTCCTGCCCTCTCCCTCTGCCCCTTCTCTGCCCCTGATCTCTCTTGTCATCCTATATAATTGAGACTTTTTTGCTCTTTTTTTCTCTCAAGAGACTGAGATAAACCCCATGCATACAGGCTCCTGCCCTCCCCATCTGCCCCTGATCTCTCTTGTCATCCTGTATAATTGATACTTTTTTGCTCTTTTTTCTCTCAAGAGACTGAGATAAACCCCAGCCCTGTCCTCTGCTGAACAGTCTGCATCAGACCTGCCAGGGCCTTTGGTGTTCTAAGGCTGGCTCAGCAGCTTTTCCAGCAGCCTGGGGGATGGGACTTCTCCCCCTCTGCAGCCTGCCTTGGGGAGCTGCATCTCCATCTTTTGAACATGTTGTGTCTGCACAGCTTGGTCCTCAGCACTGGGTCTTCTCCTGAAGGTCTGAGAAGTCAAGGGGAGGACACAGGAGCCTGGGAAAGTGGCAAGGACACAGGAAAAACCCTGAGGCTCTCCAGGAGTGTGTGGTAGGCTCTGCTGCTTAGGCAGCTGTGCTGTGCTTGGGAAGTATCCACCCCTGTTCTCTGCCTGCAGAGGGACTGTCACCCCTGGTGCTGCCTGGCCTCCAGCACTAGGATGGGGCAGTTGCATGTTAATAGTCTCATGATCCTTCACAGACTCCCCTGCTGAGGTTTCTTTCACTGCTGCCCCTTCTCAGGTGTTTAGGACTGTCCTGTGCATCCTACATGTGTTCTTCCTGAAGTTGCTGAACATGTTGAGGGAGTACTTGTTTTGCTTACAGTCATTCAACCTGCCTGGCAGCTTGCTCTGCTCATTTGTGGGGCAGCAGAGAGGTTTGGGCCTCATCCTGCCACTAGGAGTGCAGAACAGGAGCTCAGAGGAGCCTGATTTCACCTTCTGCTGTTACATATCAGTAGCTGCTCCAGATGTGACATGCTGGGAGCAGCCAGAGAGGTTAGGTCAAGTGGCAATGGATCTGCTTGAGGGCCAGACTGGTGTAAACAATTCCCTGCACACCAGTGTAGGAACCAGAAATGCCTACTGTCCAAGTTCCTATTGTTGTGTGCAGGGGTGTTGGTGCAGGAGGAGCCTGCAGCTGAGGCTGGATACTGTGGGTGCTGCTGTGCTGCTGCAGCTCCCCTGGGAGGCAAGAGGTCCTTCATGCTCATTTAGGAAGCAAGGAGCCCTGCACATGCAAAGCCTTCAGTAACAGTTCCGTGGCTTGTCCATTCCTCACCCCCCCTGCAAGCCTCCCTGGCTGCTCCACATCCTGTCCAAGCCAGGACAATCTTGGGAGGATTTGCTCATTGTCCCACATCCTTCCCTTCGTACCCTCTTCCTGCTGGTCACTAGACCCACTGATGGTACAATGACCAGCTCTCTTCCTGGGTATTTCCTTGGGAAGGGGAGAGGAGGAGGTGTCAGGGATTGCTCTTTCACAAGTTCAGCACAGGGCAGCAGCTTGGGGAGGAGGCACCTTGTGGTCCTCTGAACAACCTGGTCTAGGGGTTGGTGTCCCTGCCCATGCAGGGGGGTTGGATCTAGATGATCTTTAAGGTCCTTTCCAGCCCAAACCAGTCTGTGATTCTGTGATTTTATGATGTGTGAATAAGCACCTGGAGCAACTCTGGGCTGGACCTCAAAGGGCCACCAGAGCAACTCCATGGCCACACGTTGGCTTCCCTGCATGGCCTGTGGTTGGTAGGTACCTCAGAGTGGCAACTGGAAGGGACCTCTGTGCTGGACACAGCACTGGGCAGGGGGCCAGCAGGGGAGGTAGGGTTGTCTGCTTTCCCTGCAGGTAGCTCATGTGGCTCAGGGCTGGCCACTGGTGCCCTTCAGCAGAGAGGGGCAGAGCTGCTCTCCCCTGATTTGGAAGGGTCTTGACATACACATGGAAAAAATGAAGCAAGCACTTGTGTGCTGCTGCTGTGCTGAGAAGAGGGATTCTGCAATGCCATGGTCAGGGAGCTCAGACAGAAACCTGGGAGACCTGCCTGCTCATCCTGTGAGTTCAGGGTTGACCCAGATCTCAGTGCAGCAACTAAAATTGGGACGTTCCTCATGTAGCTGTGCTTTTTACATCTGGCCTGTGAATTCTGCCCAGTGGAACATTGCCATGCAGATGGCTTCCAGAAATGCCTACAGATGAGTATGTTTGAACACCATGATGTTTTGTGGTCAAAGATATGGATTTCAGTCTGAAATAGAAAGGTGGGAAAACAGCAAACCTGGCTCCTCATGTTCCTGGGGATGCTCTCCAGGAGCTGTAGCACCACAGAAAAGGTTGGCAGGCTCCCTTCATTTGTGCTTGAAGAGGGAGCAGCAGGTACATTTTATGGAAAGCCCAGGCAAGGTGTTAGTGTTTGGTAAGCTCCAAGAACGTCTGTAGTGGGACACTAGAATGAATTACTGCCTAATGCTTGAATCCTTCCTGAGCTCAGGTATCAGCCAGAGTGTAGCTGCCTAGGGACACTGACTTGGAAGTGGGACTTGGTGTGTGTCTTGAGCCAGAGGGAATTTTCCATTTTCCTCTAACATAAAAAGGACATGGAGCTCCTGGAGTGAGTCCAGAGGAGGCCAAGAAGATGCGTAGAGGGCTGGAGCAGCTCTGCTCTGGAGCCAGGCTGGGAGAGTTGGGGTGTTCAGCCTGGAGAAGAGAAGGCTCCAGGGAGACCTTAGAGCACCTTCCAGGGCCTGAAGGGGCTCCAGGAAAGCTGGGGAGGGGCTTGGGACAAGGGCAGGGAGGGATGGGACAAGGGGGGAGGGATTAATACTGGAAGAGGAGGGATTTAGGTGAGATATTAGGATGAAATTCTTTGGTGTGAGGGTGGTGAGAGCCTGGCCCAGGCTGCCCAGGGAAGCTGTGGCTGCCCCATCCCTGGCAGTGTTGAAGAGCAGGTTGGATGGGGCTTGGAGCAGCCCCATGTTGGCCCATCAGCCTGTGGAACACCAGGCAGAGACATCCCTCTCCCTGGCACTCAGCAGGAGCAGGGTACCTCAGCTCATTTTATTTGTCTGCATGGTAAATCTGTCACTGGCTTCAGCAGCCTGAGTTCTCCTTCTGCTCTGGGGGAGAGACAAGCACTTCCAGGGCACATCCCAGCTAGCCTGTTCCAGGTGGCTGCTGCAGGGTGACTCCCTGGAATTCTCTGCCTCTCCCCACCAGCACTGGAGAAGCCTGGACTGACAAGTTCAGCACGAGATGTTCATATCATGTGTGCTTTCCTGTGCTGAGGTCCATGAGAAGTTACAGGATGGAAAGTGGATCATTCCCAAACACCAGCTGGGGACAGTGGAAATCCCTTTACAGAACCAGTATCAGTTGCTTATCTGGCAGAAAACCCCCATTTGATCACTTCCTAAAAATCACACTTCCCATCTCTTCAGGAAGGCAAAACAAGGGTGAAGTTGCCCTCCCTTTAGGTTGTCACTGAGGTGTCAATATCACCCTGGCAAAGCAGCTCCCAGAGAAAGGCATAGCCCCTTCCCTTTGTTGTTTCCCCCAACTCCTTGACATTGTGTTTGGCTGTTCACCTCACGTTGCAAGTTCATGATGTTCTTCAAGCTGCTCTAACACTTATTTACACCCACAGCACTTGGATGCCAGCAGCTTCACTAGGATTTGCCCCACATCTGTTGCCCACAGCTGCTGACTCTGCACCCACAGCTCTGCCACAGAACTTAGATTTTCTGATTCATTGCAGCTTTAGTTCTGTCCTTGCAGCCTGCACAGTTCCACTGAGGGTTCATCCTGGCTGCAGGGATTTAAAGACCAGGCAGCAGATCTACACCAGTGATCCTGCTCCAGCTGTAGTCCATGGGGAATGATAGTCCCCTGGGGCCATGATTCCTCCCAGGTGACTTAGAGCTTCCTGCTGGTTCACACCTGGCCATGGCTGTCTCCCTCCATCTGCAACCTGGTGATTAGTAGAGACCAAACATCCAGCTTTCAGAGGGCTTCATTTAGCCTGGATTAATTTAATCTACAAGGTTTTGTAACTTGCAGATAAAAGGCTGGCTGATGAGATCAACTATCCAGCCAGTTCTTCCACCCCTGGTTAGCCTCTGTGCAGTTTAGTAGCCCCAGGGTGAGCGAGGTGATGGGTAGGGGAGGTCCCACTGCAGCCCGGGCACTGCTGGGTGCCTCATGCACAGCTGTTCACGTGCTGCTGGGTTCTGGAGGGGTGTTCCTGACACAGCCTTCACACTCAGCACTGCCTGGGTCGTTTCTCAAAAAATAGCTCCGTGAAACTTTTGGGAAGCTGGAGTTAACTAATCCCATACCACATGGTGTGTGGACAGACTCATCATTCAAATAGCACCAGACTCTGAGTTTAAATGTTCCTTCCTTGAAGGAACATTCCAGGGAGATCCAGGGAGATGCTGAAAGACCCCATGAGCTCTTGTAGCCTGTGGTATCTAATGACATGAGCTGTGCCCTGCTGTGCTTCCTACAAACACTGTCACCCTGTGACATCAAAAAAGCTGGTGCTTTGGCTTCTCTGCTGGGTGCCAGCCTAGCAGGGCCCAGGCTCCCAGGGCATGCTGAGGAGGAGCTATGGTTCAGGGATGAGTATGATTCTTGGCCAGGTCTGATTACCCACTTGGGATATTTGTATTTCATTCTAACTGACACTGAGAAGGCGGTTTGATTTGGAACAAATTTCAAGCAGGAACAAGTTTCAGCATCTGCATTTTCACTGTGAGCACAATGAGGGACAGAACAGGTTCAAGCCTGCTTGGCCAAGGGTGGGGACCTCAGCAGGGAAGGGGAGGGCAGTACATGAAGCAGTTACAAGGAAAGGGAAGGACCAGCTTGAAGAGCTGATCTTCCTCCCTTTGCACAGGGATCTCCGAGGACCATGTGTCAGGTGTGTGTGTCTGAGGAAGCCAAGAGAGGCAGCTGGGAAAAGCCAGCTCCTCCCCCAGAGTGGGAGGCTGTAACTGGTGATTAACTCCCAAGCAGAGTGGAGCTCATGCTGAGTCCTGGAGGAACCTGCCAGGAGGAACTCGGGAGTGCAAGAGGGTTCGAAGAGACCTGGAGTTGGACAGAGGACTGACCCAGCTGGAGAGGCACCTCTGGACAGCAGCACCTGCAGTCATGTTCAACTACCTGGCAGTGGAGGTGAGACCCCAGTCCCACCGCAGCTACCTGGGCCAGCAGGGAGTGTCTGGGCCACTGAGGAGCTGCCTGGAGCAGCTGAAGAAGCCGTGGTGGAGGGAGCCCACCCCACTGGTGCTGCAGCACAGCGAGACAGCCAGGCTGGCCATTGATGCCTTCCTGGAGCAGGGGGAGCGCGGCTACCTGGGCGCCATTGCCGGGGAACGGGAGCTGCCCTTTCTGTCCCACCTGGACATGGAGTACATGAGCCAGCAGAGAAGCCAAAGCTTCCCAGATCCCAGCTCAGTGAAGGACAAAGAGGCCGAGCCCAGCGACGAGGATGCCGGGGACGCGTCTTCCCTCAACTCTGAACTCACCTCCGGCACCTACTTCCCGCTCATGTCTGACGTGCACCCTCCAGAGCTGGAGCTGGGCTGGCCGGGGACCCCGCTCCTCTCCGTGGCTGGGCACACTCAGGCCACCGTGGTTTTCCAGAGGAACAAGGCCAACAGCATCAAGGACCTGCTGCGCTCCCTCATCAGCCGCGCGCGGACGGTACGTACAGAGCGGGGGCCCGGTCCCGCTGGCTGCTCCCCGAGCTGGACACCGGGCTCTCCAAGCTGCTGCTGCTGCTCGGGGGTGTCTGCTGTGATGGGATTGCTCTTTCTCTAGCAGATCTGTGACTGCTCCTGCTCCTTTTCCTTTCCTGTCATCCCCTCCCACCCGGGACGCGGTGCCCGGGGAGGTGTCTGTGGCTCTGGGGATGCAGGGCCTGGAGCCCCTGAGTGTCCCCAGGCAGCCCCCCTGCCAGGGCCTTCCCACGGCCAGGACTGCCCTGCACCCCAGGACATCACGTTAAGCAGGAGCAGAGGACACCCCTGGTGAGTTGCTGTGGGACCTGAGTGAGCCTGTGGGTCTGAGAGTCCCTGCCTGTGTCTGGAGAGGGTTGGGATACGTCAGCACGTCTTCTAGACTGGATGTCTGTGCCTCTCTGAGGATGAGTAAGATCAGCCCGTTGTGCCCCATCACAGCTCCTGTGGGGCAGAGGCTGCCAGCCCTGGGATCTCAGAAAAGCTGGATGAACACAGTCCCTGCCTACCAGGCACTATCCTGGTGGGAATTTACTCACTAACTTAGTTCCTTCCACCAGACTGTGCTGAAGCAGCAGCTCAGACAACTGGATCTCAAGACATGTTCAGCTTTTATTATCTTTGTTCTCTTTATGGTTCTTTTCATCTGTTCCATGTTAATCTTTTTTTTGTGGTGTTTAATCTCAATAGCGTGGTGGTGTGGAGGGAACTTGTAGTGCAAAGTACACTTTTAACCGTGCCTCTTATCACTCCAGCAGTTCCTTCTTTAACTTCAGTCGCTCCTTCAAGTCATTACTTCCTAGTGCAGCAAGTGGGAGATAAAGAGCCGTTCAGCCTGGAGGTGGCTGTGCTGGGCACACCAGCTGCTGCCTCCTGTCACAGCTGCACAGCTGAGCAAGGTCACCTTGTCCCCAGCCCGTGGAGCCGGGGCCCTGCAGCAGCTCAGGTTGCTCTGCAGCATCTCAAGAACCTCGTGTTGTTCTGTTGAGAGCATGACCCGAGGGAAATGGGGAGCTGCTTTTCTCCAGAAGAAGGCTCTTTTGCCACATAAGCTGCTGCTGAGCTTTAAGCAGCCGTTGCTTAATGCCTGAACTTCTGTTGCACCTTTGTAGGCAAATAGAGGAAGTTTTGGCCAGGAAGTGAGTGACAAAAAGCTTTGTTTGTCCTTCTAGGCAGCTGTTATATGATATTTTAAATGATCTGAAAAGTCCCGTGACTCCACTTCAGCAGTGGGGATTAAGACGTGGTCACGGCAGAAGCACAAAGTCCCCGGCTGCCAAGAAATGTCCCCGTGTCACTTAGCACACCTCCCATATCCCTGACAATACTATGATCCACTTGAAAAACATCTTGCTGCTTCCTCAGTCCCCAGGAACTTCTCACTTGCTGCAGGGAGGTTGCCCAGGCAGCAGGTGCTTTATTGCACTTTAAATATATTTTGAGCTTTTTACTTTGTTCTTTTTTTTTTACTGGGCTTGAAAAAGCTCTGGAAGTTTTCAGCCCTTTCTGTTCTAGCTGTGGATTTTCACTCAGTGTTTTTGACTGTTGTATGGAGTGTGAGAACGAGCTTCCATCTTCCTGGTTTATTATTGGTGTTTTACTGGCTTCTAGGTTGGGAGCTCTGGCCAGTGCTTCCCATGACTGGCAGCAGTTCCAGCTCACTCACACCCCCAGTTACACATCTTTAAGTAGTTACCAGGTCATTTTGCTCACCAAACTATCAAAAAATATGTTACTTGTGTGTCTTTTCATGACAAAAGAGCAACCAGACTTAAGAACATCTTTGGCTTGAGGTGCTAGTAGCAGCTGTGCAGAGAACCACTTGCCTTTTTGCTTTCCAACTGCTGTTCCTGCATTTCAGATGTTTTCTCCACCAGACTCTAAGCTCTCCTCGTCTGTCCCTCCTGGGGAGTGTTTCTCTCCCTGCTCCAGCTGACACAGGAGGGGACACAGTGTCAGGGGGGGATGTGGAACAGATCTTGAGATCCCTGGAATCTTCTGGCTCCTGCAGACAGGGAGGCACCTCTTGAGATGCTGCTGGCTGCTTTCTGCTGCCCAGCCACCCAGAGCCACACCAGCTGGCACATTTTGCACCAGGGCATTTGGGCTGACAAATCAGCAGAAAGGACATTTGTTTTACTGGTGCCCTTTGCTGGTGTGGTTTGTCTTTTTCCTTGGCTGTGTTTAAGCAGCTGCCTTTGAAGATGATGTTCAGCTGGAGCTTTTCCCTTTGCAGACGTAAGATGCAGCCACACCTCAGCCTTCATTTGATAATACTATGACAGTTTGTCCTGGTGTTGCTTGGGCTCCAATCTAGTTTGAACTGTCCCTCCTGCTTCTTCTGCCCCTCTTGGACAACTGTGGCCCTGGCTGGGTGTCTGCCATGGCAGAGGGGTCCCTGGTGGTCCCCCAGAGAAGCAGTGAGTGGCTCCCAATGGCAGCCCCACGGTGGTGACCCAAACCACACTGCTATTGGCAAATACCAGCCAAACCAGCTGTGCTGGTTGGGAACCAGACTGATGGCAACCCCAGTGGGGTGCTGGTAAGTGCTGTAATTCCCAAAGTGATGACTGTGGTAATTGCTGAATTGAGAGTTTCCAGCAGGGGATTTAGAAATGTCTTGATTTAACCCTAGAAGGGCAAGATGTGAATGTTCTGGGGCCTGTAGGGCAGCTCTGTCTTGGCAACGTCCTGACCTGCCAGGGCTGTGCCTGGGGCTTGGTGGCTGAGATCAGTGTGGTGAGGAACAGGGGTCTCTGGGGCAGCCCCAGCCCTGCAGCCCCCACCCAGGGGCTGGAGGCCCCATCGTGTTGCTTGGGTTGGAAAGGGCAGAGTGGCTGAAATCCCCGAGGCTTTTAAATGTGAGACATGAGCTGTCAGGGTCCCAGACTTAGGCCCCCAAGACCCACTGCTGCTGGAGATCACTTTTGAGGCTGTAGACCTCACATCTGGGACTATATGAGGCTTTGAGGGGAAGACTCCCAGGGTCTTCTTCCCCTAAAACATCTTGGCTTTGAGGTTGAGCTGATGTTATTAAAAGAGCTGTTTGCTGAGAGGGTGTTTTGGTGTGAGTGGCCCTTCGGGCTGTCCTGTGGTTGGAACCAGCAGCCTCACCACGGGGGTCTGCATCTCCACCATGCAGGGCTGTGCAGGCACAACCTGTCCCCTCCCCATGGACCTGCTCCTGCTGCAGGGCTCGTGGGCATCAGCTCGGGGTGCCTGCCAGCACCACCAGGAGCAGCTCTCCCCACATCCCTGCTGAGCAGGGGCTGCACCCGAGGAGGCTGTGAGCAGAGCTGCAGCCTGTCCCACCTCCTGCTGCCAACCTGAGCCTGCCAGCCTGGCAGGGCTCCTCCCAGCTTGCACAAGCTGTCCTGCAGCCTGGGGCACTGCCTGGCTCCAGAACTCTGCCAGGAGGTGCCAGGAGATCCAGCCAGATGGATCCACAGCTCTGGGTGCCACTGCTGGCTGTGCCACACGCTGCCAGCTCAGCCCCCTCCTGGGCACCAAGAAGAGCTTGGCCAGGGAGGTTCTTCTGCCCCTCTGCTCTGCCCTGGGGAGGCCCCACCTGGAGCCCTGGGTGCAGTTCTGGGCTCCCCAGTTCCAGAGGGACAAGGAGCTCCTGGAGAGAGTCCAGCCCAGGACACTGAGGTGCTGAGGGGCTGGAGCTGTGAGGAAAGGCTGGGAGAGCTGGGGCTGCTCAGCTGGAGAGGAGGAGGCTGAGGGGGGGTCTGATCAGTGCTTACAAATACATACATATATATATATATATATATATATAAAATATATATATGGCAGATGTTAGAAGGATGGGGCCAGACTCTGCTCAGGGGTGTCCAGGGACAGGACAAGGGGCAATGGGCACAAACTGGAGCACAGGAGGTTTAACCTAAAGATAAGAAAATACTTCTTCACTCTGGGGGTGACAGAGCCCTGGGCCAGGCTGTCCAGGGAGGCTGTGGGGTCTCCTCTGGAGACATCCCAAACCTGTGCTCCTCTGGGATCTGCTCCAGGGCATCCTGCTCTGGGAGGGGGATGGACTAGATGATCTCCAGAGGTCCCTCCCAACCCCACTCTGTGAGTCCCTGATCCTGCCCCAGAGAGCACTGCAGACTGGCAGGGCCATTCTGGGGCAAACAACAGCCCCAAACTCCTCCAGGCTGTGAGCACTGGGAGAGACAAGCAAGTTGGTGTAGTCTTGGGCACGAGTGGTCCCTCTGAACACGTGGGGTCTGAGGACCAAGGAGCAAGGGTCCCTCCTGACTCCATCCTGCTGGCTTCCCAAGCCAAGTTCAGATTGTCCCCAGGGCCAAACCTGCTTGAGATGAGCTGGAGAATCGTGAGGCAGGTGTGGCTGAGGGGACCTGCCTGAGCCCTGCACAAGGTTTTCTCTTGGTGCTTCATCACTAGAGTAGGGATGGGTGGCCCATCAGAGTCATTTGAGTGAATTGCCTTTGGTCTTTGGTCGAAGGCCAGTGTGGAAAGACATGGGGAAGCCCTTTTTTTGTGGGGGTCCCAGCAGTACCTGTTGCTGCTGGCCCAGCAGCAACACTGATTTGGGAAGCTGAAGGTGCTGCTCCCTGCTTTCAGAGCTCCTCCAGGGCTGACTGCTGTCCATGCCAGGTGGACACGTTTCAAGAGCAGAGGAGGGTTTGCCAGAGCCTCATCAGGCTTCTGGGAAGACAACACTGGTGAGGGCTGTGAGAGAGGTGCCCTTTGGAGTCAGGCTCTGAAGACTTTATCTCCCAGGGCCAGGGTGAGCGGGTGGAGAAGTGAGTTGGCCTGGACAGGAGCAATGATTTTTAGCACTCGATGAGCTAAAAAGCTGCCTTCTGTCCCATGTGGATGCCTGGGATCACACCAGCCTCCCAGAAGGTTCTTCCCTGAACCCTGCTGTGGGGGGCTGGGCCTGGGGTCTTCTGCCAGATGTTGGGGACCAGTGACTGTGCAAGTCATCATCACAGAGATGGGGGACAAATCAGAGCAGGAAATCTTGTCCACCTGCAAAAGGGATGAATTCCCAAGGGAGCAGGAGCAGCCCTGTGGCTCTGCTGTGGCTCTGGTGCAGAGGGTCTCTCCACGGGGGGTGTGGGCAGGGAGGAGCCATCAGGCCAAGCAAAGACCAGGCAGGAGAGCAGGGGAAAGCCCAGGGGCTGCCCTGTGCCCCGGGCAGCTGCTTCCACTCAGCACCTGGGCACGGTGAGAGCCTGGGGAGGCAGTTTGTTCATGAAAACAGAGCAGCAGGGCCTCTGGGCAGTGGGTGATCTGGGGCAGAGACCTGTGCCTGTCCCCACATCCAAGGGCAGGGACACTTGGAGCTCCTCTTTTCTGCAGGTCAGAGCCATCAGTGTGTGATTCAGCCAGTTCTTATTTAAAGCCTGAACCACTGCTGTCATACAAGTCACATAACAGCTGTTCTGCTGTGCCTTCAGCTCTGTCTGAGGAGGAGCAGATGAGCAGAAGAGGCAGAGGAACGTTCACCCTCCATGGGTGGCTCCATCAGGTGGTTTGGAAGCTGTTGAAGTGCATCCATGGCCACGCTCTGCCCCAGGCACAGGAGTGTTTGGAAACAGGAGTCCTGCCTCCTTCCCAGGTGCCTGATGAGCAGGGAACAACCTGTCCTGCACTCTGTGTGCCAGCTGTGGTGCAGGCTGGAGGGGGCATTGGACCTGCCCTCCAAAACGTGGTGCTTTTTAGATCATCTTGATCTGGGCATCCTCTGCCAGGAGCAGGAAGTCACAAACAGTTCTGCACACAAGTTGCAGGTACCAGTTACCTTATCTACTGCTAAGAGATGGTAAAGGCTGGGGCTGAACTACCTGGTCAGTAGTTCCACTATGCATCTTCTGGAGGCTGACCTGTCAATAGTTCCTCCCCTACTTCACCTTTTCCAGCCCCCTGCTGTGCTGCCATCTCCCTCCAGTTCTCAGTGTTACCTGTCAGTGGTTCAAGGGCTCAGTCACCAGGTTGCTCTGAAAGCAGCCTCAGGTGAGGTGTGTCAGGCCTGACAAATCACCCAGCTCAGGAAGTGCTCTCCTGCCTGTTCTTTCCTTCTCCAAGATGTCCCCTGATTCCTGTCCCTAATGGTGAAGGCCAACAGATGGATCCCAGCAGTCCCTGATCTAAATACTCATAGAATGATTTGGAAAGATCATCTAGATCCAACCCCCCTGCATGGGCAGGGACACCTCCCACCAGCCCAGGTTGCTCCAAGCCCCATCCAACCTGCCCTTCAACACTGCCAGGGATGGGGCAGCCACAGCTTCCCTGGGCAACCTGGGCCAGGCTCTCACCACCCTCACAGCAAAGAATTTCTTCCTAATATCCCCTCTAAACCTCCTTCTTCCAGTTTTCATCCATCCCCCTCATCCCATCCCTCCCTGCCCTTGTCCCAAGCCCCTCCCCAGCTTTCCTGGAGCCCCTTCAGGCACTGGAAGGTGCTCTCAGGTCTCCCTGGAGCCTTCTCTTCTCCAGGCTGAACACCCCAACTCTCCCAGCCTGGCTCCAGAGCTGCTCCAGCCCTCCCAGCATCTTTGTGGCTCCTCTGAACTCTCTCCAGCAGCTCCATGTCCTTCCTGTGTTGGGGGCTCCAGAGCTGGACACATTTTTCCAGGGGGGATCTCAAGAAAGTCGAGTAAAACAGCTGCCTTGGTGTTTTCTGCTGGCAGCCTCACTCACTGAGGAGCAGGGGAACAGCTTCTCCAGTCACATCTTACTCTACTTCTGGTTTATTTCCCTTGATCTGTTGTCCTGGTTGCAGGTCACAACATGCTGTGTATTTTCTAGTTCCGGGTCAACTCACTTTTGCTTGTCAGGACCTGCCTTCCACTGGCTGTATTTTCCCTCCAGGTTTTGGAGAATTCATTAACCAAGGTCTCTTGCCTCCCATCCCATCTCCACAGTGGGATGAGCTTCTTCAATCTCACTCTTGAAAGTTCTCTTTACAGTTCCTTTCCTTTTTGAAACCCCTGCCTTGGAGACCTTATCTCAGAAGTCTTTAGTTTATTGAGATATATTTTATTTCATATCTGCTTTTAATAATGTGAGTGTTATTCCTTCTTCCTGCTGTTTGGTTTCATAACTGCCACGTGCCCCCTGGGCTGTGCTGGCAGGAGAGGGGAGGGGTCCTTCCCACACACGTTATCCTGCAGTTTTGTCTACTTGGGTGTCATCTTGGAAGGAGGACGTGCAGGTACTTGATCCTGACACATCCTGCCTCTCCTGGCAGCCTGTTCTTCCTGGGGAAAAAAATACAGATACACTTCTTGGTGTTCATACAGAGGTATCAGCTGCACTAGGTGGTCACCTCTGGAAGCTGGGGGGTCACTCGTGCCTCTGTGATGATGATTTTGGTCAGTACCAGGGAATCGCAGGAGATGCTGAGTTGGAAAGGACCCACCAGGACCATCGAGTCCAACTCCTGTCCCTGTGTAGGGCACCCCAAGAATCACCCCATGGGCCTGAGAGCATCATCCAAAGGCTTCTTGAACTCGGGCAGGCCTGGTGCTGTGACCACTGCCCTGGGGAGCTGGTTCCAGTGCTCAACCACCCTCTGGGTGAAAAACCTTGTCCTGATATCCAACCTAAAGCTCCCCTGATCCAGCTTCTGCCATTTCCCCCAGTCCTGTCCCTGGTGACAGGAGTGAAGAGCTCAGGACCTGCCCCATCTCTTTTCCTGGTGAGGAAGCCATGGTCCCAGCTCCCTAGTTGTCACTCTGTGTTTCTGGCTTACCTGGGGCAGGAGCCTTCAGAGTTTGTGCTGTTCCTGTGAGGGGCAGATGAGTCAGGAGGCAGCTGGATGGGGACTGTGCACAAGAGTAAGTGCAGAGTCCTGCCCCTGGGGAGGAGTAACACCAGGCACCAGTACAGATTGAGGGTTGACCTGCTAGAAAGCAGCTCCATGGAGAAGGACCTTGGGGTCCTGGTGGACAAGTTATCTGTGGGACAGCAATGTGACCTTGTGGCCAAGAAGGCCAGTGGCCTCCTGGGGTGCATTCAGCAGAGTGTGGCCAACAGGTCAAAGAAGGTTCTCCTTCCCCTCTTCTCTGTCCTGGTAAGATCACATCTGGAGTGTTGTGTCCAGTTCTGGGCTCCCAGTTCCAGAGAAACAGGGACAGACTGGAGAAAGTCCAAGGGAGGCCACGAGGATGATGAAGGGACTGGAACACCTGCCTGATGGGGAAAGGCTGAGAGACCTGGGGCTGTTCAGTCTGGAGAGGAGAAGACTGAGGGGGGATCTAATGAATGTCTATCAATACATGAAGGCAGCAAGAAGGCAGGACAAGCTCTTGTCACTTGTGCCCTGGGACAGGACGAGGGGCAATGGATTCAAACTGGAGCCCAGGAAGTTCCACCTCAACTTGAGGAAGAACTTCTTTGGTGTGAGGGTGACAGAGCCCTGGGACAGGCTGCCCAGAGAGGTTGTGGAGGCTCCTTCTCTGGAGACATTCCAGACCCACCTGGACATGTTCCTGTGGGACCTGCCCTGGGGGATCCTGCTCTGGCAGGGAGTTGGACTCAATGATCTTCAGAGGTCCCTTCCAACCCCTGACATTATGTGATTCTGTGATTCATGGCTATTAAGAGCAATTTTACCTGCCATGGTGGGGCATGGGCTGGTAAACACCAGGGTCCAGAAGGAATCAACACCAGTGGCTGCAGATGCTCAGTAACTCAGGAAGCCTGAACACCTAATTCAGAGTTTAAACCACAAGTCACTTGGTCGTGGGGTTTCAACAGCCTTTTTTTTTGTTTGTTTCCCCCCCCACCTCTTTTCTCCTGGTTAGGTGATAGCAATTGTGATGGATCTGTTTACAGACATGGAGATCCTGTGTGACCTGCTGGAGGCCTCGAGCAGACGCCACGTCCCTGTCTACCTGATCCTGGACGAGGAGAACCTGAAGCATTTTGTGGAGATGTGCAATAAAATGGCTCTGACTCAGGACAACTTCCCAGTAAGTTCTCAGTCACACACTGGTTATGATAAACAGGCCTTGGTATTGATAAAAAACCACATGCCCCTTGTTCTGTTCCCTCTGCCTGGTCTCTGGGGCTTTATCCCTTCTCCTGCTGCCCCAGGCTGGGAGACCATGGCTGTTTGGGTTAGGAAATGATCTGGAAGCACAGGGCAAGGAGTGAAGGAGCCTCCAGTCCCACCCCTTGGTGTGTCATGGTCCTCATGCCAGTTTTGCACCCAAGAGGTGTGCAGTCAAGGCCAGGAAGGTGCAGACCAGGGGGGCTGGAACTAGGTGATCTTTAAGGTCCCTTCCAACTCAAACCGTTCTGTGATTCTCTGGTTTCATCCTGGCTCTTGATGGCAACAGCTCAGGAGCTGTTAAGGAGCTTCATGCTGGAGCATGTTTGCTTTCATAACCAACTGCATCACTGAAGTCACCTGGTGGATCCAGATAAATTCCATCTCTCCAATATTTATGTGATTTCCTTCCTGTCCAAGAGCTTAGCCCTTGGTTTTAATTAAAATTCAAACGAGTTTCCATCCATGGAGATGTCCCTGTCTCTGGGTTAGGCCTGATGTCATGTCTTGTGCTTGCCTGGCTAATGAGCACCTGCCTCCCCATCCAGTGACTCACGGGCAGGGTTCATTGGCAAGTGCCTTTTCAGCTGGTGATGTCAAGCAGGGCATTCGTGTCCATGCCTGATGCTCACATCAGGGTGGAATGAGGGGACAGACTTGGTTCCTGGCCCTGAGCTGCCACAGGATGTGATGCTCAGTCTCCATGTGGAATAATCAGTGACAATTTGGGGTTGACCACATCTGGAATATGGTGTCCAGTTCTGGGCCCCTCAGTTCCAGAAGGACAGGGAACTGCTTAAAGGTGTCCAGGGCAGAGTCACAAAGGTGCTGGAGGGAGGGGAACATCTCCCTGCTGAGGAAAGGCTGAGGGAGCTGGGGCTGTTGGGCTTGGGGGAGACCTTGTTAAGGGTTACAAATCTGTTCAGGGCAGTGTCAGGAGGACAGAGCCAGGCTCTTCTCAGTGATGTCCAGTGACAGGACAAGGGGGCAATGGGTGCAAACTGGAGCACAGGAGGTTCCATGTAAACATGAGGAAAACCTGTTTCACTGTGAGGGTGGCAGAGCCCTGGGACAGGCTGCCCAGGGAGGTTGTGGAGCCTCCTTCTCTGAAGACATTCCAAACCTGCCTGGATGTGTTCCTGTGTGACCTGCCCATGGGGATTCTGCTCTAGCAGAGTGGCTGGACTAGATGATCTCCAGTGCCTTCTAACCTCCAACATTCTGTGATTCTGTTGTTCTATGTTTCATGGGGACATTGGTGCCATTGTCCCTGCAGCCCCTCACCCTGAAGGGCAAGATGTCAGGTCCTGGTAATGAACATCAGCCAGTGGTGCATTGGCAGGGGTCCCAGCAGAGGACTTCACTGCTGGGCTTTTTCAAATGCCACCTGCTGGACCTACAACTTGTGTCTACCCCAAGGGAGGGTGGCCCCTGGCAGCCTGGCTTCCCTGTGGGACTGCAGGGTTCTCACCTGGTTCGCACAATTCAGGGCCAGGTTTGCCAAGAGGAAGAAGAGGATGGAAAAAATGAGCCAGATCTCAGCAACTGACTCAGCCTTGGGAAGCCAGAGGGAGTGAAGAAATGCTGTGGCAAAATTCCATGGGAGATCCCTTACCTGAAGTCGTTTTAACTTCCTGGCGTGGTGGGGAGAGGAAGCTCCTCCCAGTAAGAACTAGTATTCCTGGAGCCTCAGTGCTGGAAGACAAACATCCCTGTGTTGGCTGGCAACAGGATTGGCTGGAGATTCCCCAACCTCTGGCCTGTCTTGCACCAGCAGCTGGTGGTGGCATTTCAGAGTATCACAGGTTACAAGTTGGCAGGAACCTCAGGAAGTCATCAAGTCCAACCTCGTGCTCAGAGCAGTCACCCATGGGGCCAGAGATGGTCTAGGCTTGAACATCTGCAGGCATGGAGACCACACCACCTCTCTGGGTGACTTGTTCCAACTGTCCTCCTGGGGGAAGGTTTCTCCCTCTGCGTAGGTGAGAGATGAGGATGTTTCTGGGACACAAGGAGGCAACGTGTGAGACTGCAGTGCAAAGGCTGTGAAGCTTCAGCTCTGTCCTGGCTAAAGGTTTCCATGAACTCAAGAAAAGACTGGACAAGTAGCTGGAGAAGAGGTCCAGGGGGATTCCCACTGAGACAAACCACAAGAGGCTCAGGGTCCCCTGAGCAGAAAGCAGAGTCAGCAGCAATATGAGGGGGCAGCACCATCAATGGTTTTGCTTCTTCCTGCTCTGCCCCACCTGCAAGAGACACTGTTGGGTCAGATGGTCCCTGGTCTGCAGGAGATCTGCTGGGGTTAGGAAGCCCTGAAGGCAATGGTGCTCCCTGAGGGGGTGAGGAGGCCACCCCAGCATTGAGCTGTTCCCAGTGTGCTGCCAGGAGCTCCCTCCCCAGCAGCTGTTCCCAGGAAGCCCAGCTCCTGCCCACAGGGACTCTATGGAAGAGGGAGGCCATCAGGAATGGAGTCACCTGCTGCAAGGTGGCTGCCTCATGCTCCTCACCCCCTAGGCACAACTTCCAGGCTGGAAACCCCAGAGACTGGGCGAGCAGGTCCCGGGCAGTGCAGGCAGCCTGGGGAGCCCAGAGCTGCTCACCCAGCCTGGGGTGGGGAGGGGAGAGAGAAGGGGACACAGCAAAGCCCAGGAGCAGCTCCTGGAGGGTGGCAGGGACCTGGGTCTGCATCCCATGGAGAACATCTGCAGGGCAATCACAGCTGCTCCTGCTTGGGCTTTGGCTGCAGCCCCGGCAGCCCTGCTGGCACTGGCCAGGCTGAAATCTGCTGCCACCTCCCCCAGGAGAGCCCACCAGCCATGGGCAGCACCCACGTCTCCCGGGAGGCCACGTGGAGCTGCAGAGCCTGTCCCAGCAGCTGAGGGTCCCTGCCCCTTGCAGGGCTGAGCTGCCACCAGGGCAGGTCCTGGTGGCCTGGGGGGCAGAGTGTCCTGACCTGGCAGAGCAGCACGGGCACAGCCTCAGGGGTGGCTTTTCCATGTGAGATCACAGCATCACCAAGGCTGGAAAAGACCTTTAAGATCACCAAGTCCAGCCCATGACCAACACCCCCACATCTCCAGACCAGGGCACTAAGTGCCACCTCCAGCCTTCCCTGGAACACCTCCAGGGATGGTGCCTCCACCACTGCCCTGGGCAGTCCATCCCAAGGTCTGATCACCCTTTCCATGGGGAAGTGCTTCCTGATACCCAACCCAAACCTCACCTGGAGCAGCTTCAGGCCAGGCCCTCTCATCCTGTCACTGGTTGCCTGGAAAAAGAGCCCAGCCCCACCTGAGCACAACCTCCCTTCAGGTGGTTGTAGAGAGTGAGAAGGTCCCCCCTGAGTCTCCTCTCCTCCAGGCTAAACAACCCCAGCTCCCTCAGCCTCTCCCTGTCAGACTTTCCCTCCAGTCCCTTCACCAGCCTCGCTGTCTCCCCTGGACCTGCTCCAGCACCTCAAGGTCCTTCCTGCAGTGATGGGCCCAGAGCTGCCCCAGGACTGGAGCTGAGGCCTCCCCAGTGCTGAGCACGGGGGGAGAATCACATCCCTGCTCCTGCTGGCCACACCATTTCTGATACAAGGCAGGATGCCCTGGGCCTTGGGGCCACCTGGGCACTGCTGGCTCATGTTCAATGGCAGTTGTTCAATGGCAATGTTCTGGGCAGATGAGGATCAGGTCTGTGTCCCTGAAGAACAGCAGCTGAAAGTGTTCATATCATTTTCAAATCTACTGATAAAAGGCAGTTCCTGACATGCTGACAGACATTCCTGTTAAACCTCCTTACTGAGTGATGTTTTGGCCCTAACAAGCCTGTCACTGTGAGATCAGGAAGCACATTTGGTTAGAAACTGGTTGGTTGTTCTGGGTCAACGTTTGGGACCTGACAGGAATCATCCATGGGTCCTGAAGGAATGGGCTGATGAAGTTGCAAGGGCTCTGCCCATCATGTTTGGAAAGTCTCAGCAGTTTGGTGAAGCTGTGGCTGCCCCATCCCTGGCAGTGTTGAAGGGCAGGTTGGATGGGGCTTGGAGCAGCCTGGGCTGGTGGGAGGTGTCCCTGCCCATGCAGGGGGTTGGAACTGGGTGATCTTGAAGGTCCCTTCCAACCCAAACCATTCCATGATTCTATGAAAATCCAGTTAAAATGCAGAACCATCAGCTACTGTGGGTAGTTGAATCTTCTCACTGATCTGAAGAAACTGCACAGTCTTAGATACTTCAGAAACCACCTGTAGCCTCATAGGATCCTCCAGATTGTTTTCAACCCAGCACTTCTACCCAAGGGCAGCTGGTTAAGACCTGCTGGTGTTTTTATCTCCTAGCACAGACAGAATGCCAAAGTATTTGGTGGACAGAAGCCAAGAAAAACTGCCTGGGGGAGTCCACCAGTGGTGCCCAAGAGCACGTGTTGGTTTAAGCTCAGCTGATGCCCTCACAGCTCACAGACACTTCCTTTGGTTGCAGAACATGCGTGTCAGGTGTCTGGCTGGGGACACCTACTACAGCAAGGCTGGCAAGAAGTTTGCAGGGCAAGTGCTGGAGAAGTTTATCCTGATTGACTGTGACCAAGTTCTTGCTGGTACCTACAGGTAAGAACTGCTCTGACCCTGAGAAAATGTTCATCACCAAAGCACTGAGCAATGTGCCTGTTTTCTTGTTTCCCCATGACAGGCTGGTTGTTCCTCTTCATGTCCCCTCATGAGGTTTTATTTGGGTGCTTTACCTACTCCTGCCTCACCCTCTTGCTCTCACCTTCCTGTTTGGCTTTCAGAGAGCAGTGACTGCCTGTCTGCCAACACTGACCCCACCTGGGCACATCTCAGAGAGTTGCTTCATCTCTTAAACATGTACAAACTGCTCTCCCAGGCCAGAGGATGCTCCATCCAGCCTGGGTTCTGTCTCCAGCTGCTGCGTGGAGGGACAGCAGCCCAACCTGCCACCTGTGCTCCAGCCCCCCGTCCTCCCTCAGCATATCCAGTCCTTGCACCCCTCCTGACTCCCTTCTCTGCCACCTGTGCTCCAGCCCCTCAGCACATCCAGTCCTTGCACCCCTCCTGACTCCCTTCAGCACCAGTTCTGCACCTCTTGCCCATTCATCTGCCCGACCTCATTGTCTCTTCTAAACCAAACCTCTGCTGGTGTCCTGGCTGTGGAGCTGCAGGCTGGTGACACAGCTGTCCCACATCCAGCAGCCTGTGCTTCCACAGTTTCCAAGCCTTGCCCACCCTCCCTGCCCTTTTCTGATCTGAAGTGAGGACCTTGGCCTTTTCAGTCCCTCCTCATCCAGCAGCTGCTTCATCCCTGAGTCATTTGGACTCTCTAACCTCACTGTGTCCTTGAGAGCAGAGCAGCCTGCAGCCCCTGGGTCTGAGCTGCCATGCACACTGAGCTGGTGACTTCAGGGAGCTGCTGGCCATGACTCTGAGCTCCTTCCTGAGCTGTTCCAGCTTCAGCATCACACAGGCCTGTTCACCATGTTTGCCTGCACTGAAGTTCATCTGCCACTGATTTGCCCTCTTGCTCAGTCCTGGGAGGTCCTCCTGGACTTCCCCACCTTCAGGGAGGTATCCAACCACTTGATGGAGCTGAGGATCCTCTGCAAGCCTGGGGGTTTCACTGTACCCCTCCAAGCCTGAGCTCACCCATGGGGTGAGAACCAGTCCCATCACCAGTCTCTGGGGTCTCCCTGCAGACTCTTACCATGATGAAAAATGACCACTAAGCCCCACCCTTTGCATCCTTTGCTTCCACCAGCTCGGTCCATACCAAGACCTTTCCTCCATGCCCACAGTGACTTATTTTTTTCAAAAGGCTTTGCTGCAGAACCTTGTCAAAGGCTGTTGGAAAACCCAAAACCATGTAGTAACTGGTCCCTTTGTCCATGTGCTCACTGGCTCCCTCACCAAGCCACAGCAGGTCTGTGAGGCAGGGCTGAGCTTCACAGCAGCCCTGCTGACCTGCTTCCAACAGGCTGTGCTTTTCCAGGCCACCAGGAATCCTGTTCTTCCCAGCACACTCTGCCCTGTCCCAGGATGGAGGTCAGGGCCTCAGGATTATGTCCAGAGCCCTCACTGTAGGTGGGATTATACTGGAAAACTCCCAGTCCTCAGCAAAGCAGTCTTTGTGGTGGGCTTTGTGCACAGGAGTGAACAGGTCCCAGTGTCACCAGCATCAGCAACAGATGCAAAACAATCCCCTGGGGTTCCCTGCCATGGTCTTGCTATCCCTGAAGGCCCCTTTCGACCCAAGGGTCTCACATGGACCCACCAGTTTCCTGGCTGCCAGTGCAGCACTTTTGCAAGCTGTGGTCATCTTGGGTTTCTTGGACTGCTCCTTGGCAGCTCTTTTTGACTAATTGCTGCATTTTTACACAGTTACCATTCCTGAAACTGAACCCTCATCTGCTGCATTTGTTCAGGCTTCTCTCCCCCATGACAGAGTGAAAATGGTGTCATGAACATCATCCCAGGCTCTGCCACTTCCACCTCTGGAGCTGAGTCTCATGCATCACTCCAGGCCACATCCTGAACAGCATCTTTTCTTGTGGCTCAAGCAACTGAAGGCTGCTTAAGGAATCTTTCTTGCTTCCAAAAAGTTTTTCCCCACAGCTCATCCCACTGAAGCATTCCCTGGGTGTGGGTTTGGTGGGTGACATCCCCACTGTTGTACCTGCCCTCATTTTGCAGCCTCTGCAATCTCAGGCACCTTTCCTGATCCCATGATCCCACCCCTGCTCACCACCCCTCTTCTGAGCACAGGCTCTGGTACTGTATTTTTATTCCTGGACTCCTGAGTGTTTTTCCACCTGCAGATCCTTCCCTCAGTGTTTTCACACACCATGTTGCCCTTCACAAGGAGTGCAGCTCCCCAGGACAGACTGTGCTGCTATTTCTGGGAGTTTGGTGCCCTGGCAATACTTCATTCTCCCTCCAACAGGTCTCCTTGAGCACTGCTCCCCTCTCCCTTTCCCTTTCCCATCTCCCAGCCAGCACATGCTGGACCCTTGGTCTGCCAGTGTCCTCCTCAGTGCTGCAGCTCCAAGCTGCACCTTCTCCTCTGCTTCTGACCCTGTCACCTCTGAGTGTGGAGGTCTCACCTTATCAAACCCTGGCAGTGAAAGCTGGAAGTACCTGCTTGAAGCTGGGTATGTAGAGTCTCTATATGAACAACATGGTGAGCTGTGTCTGGTGGCATTTTTGACCATCCTAAACCATGTACCTAAGAACAAGGAGGTGAATCACTGCCTGGAGGCATCTGTCCATCTCCTGCAGGGGTGAGGATTGGAGAGCTGAGAGCTCTCCTTTGGGAATGGCTAAAGCTGAGCATGGGGCAGCTGGACTGGGCTCCACAGCAGGAGGAAAATCCCATTTCCCTGTGCCCAGAGTCAGGGAATTGCTTGAAACACAACTTGAGTTCTTCCCCCTGCTGCTCTGGGGCCAGGATCTGGGGCTGTGATGTGCTCTCTTCCCATAGATCTCTGGATAGCTGAAGCTTCTTGAGTTCTGGAAGATAATAATTCTGTTGAACAGGGTCTTACAGCTAATTCTTTGCTGTCCCAGTGAGCGTGGGGTGTTCTGGAGCAAAAGAAGGTCCCTCTCTGGGATTTGTTCAGGAGAGGCCAGAGACACTTCCACAGGAGAACATCAGGCAGTCTGGGTGCACTGCAGCCTGGCACACCCAGCACAGCAGATGTCTAGAAGACTCTCCCTGCAGATGGGAAACCTGCACTCAAAGGGTGAGAATCATTCCTGAGCAAAGCCAAAGATCCAGCTTGGATCCAGGAGGATTTTGGAATGAGCCAGGAAAGAGGGTCAGAGGGTTCTTACCCACTGGCAGGTCTTACAGTTCAGCAACCTTGTGTGCAAGTAGCAGAGGTTTCAGAACCCCCAGGGTTAAATGTTGTCTGTGCTGCTTTACCTTTGATTTGCCACAGGAGAGGTTTTCCCACCATGGTTGGCTCCATGGAACCCTCTGGCAACAGGTTGTGCAGTTGATGTTTCATGTGCAGAAGTGATCCTTTGTATTTAATTAGACCTACTGCCAGATTATATTTGATGCCCCCAAACTCCCATAGCCTGGGAACAGTAAATCACTGTGTCCTGTTCACGTTCTTGACTGCATCCCTGATTTTCACCTCCTCCATTATAATCCCTCAAGTGAATTAGCTCTTCTCCAGCTGAAGTATCCTCAGCTCTTTGGTCACTTCTTGTGCAGCAGAACTTCTGTGAGATGAATTGACCAGAACTGCATGAAGTGGTTGAGATATCCCTACCCCCTGTGCTTTAGCTTCTCAATATAATGATCACTTCTGTCTTCTCTCAGTCCCCCAGTTCCTAATCTGCTCTTTGCCTTTTTGACTAGTGCTGGACATCCAAGTGATCTTTCTTTTTCAAATGTCCATGGGAACTCTGACCTCTTTCTTAGTGTTAACATATCATAGAATCCCAGACTGGTTTGGGTTAGAAGGGTCCTTAAAGATCATCCAGTCCCAACCCCCTGCATGGGCAGGGACACCTCCCACCAGCCCAGGCTGCTCCAAGCCCCATCCAACCTGCCCTTCA